TGTTCTGCCTGGGCAGACCACACTCAATAAAATCAATAATAAAATAATAATTGGGGCCAGCCTACATGGGATCCTCCTCATAATTCTGGTTTCAAGATAACAAAGCCCTGTTCCTAAGGTTAGGCGAATGCTGCTTGTCCTCTTCATAATTCCAGATACAGGATGTCTCTGCTCTACATTTATGGGTTATTGAGTTAGAATATTGTCCGTAATACCAGTTACAGCTTTCACTGTTCTTACAATTGAGTCAAGGCAATACCAAGACCCCATATTGCCATGTTTAGTTTGTCATACTTCCTGCTCCCATTGTGGTTTTGGGAGTTTGTTCAGTTACGGCTGTTGCTCACTTCCTATTTGTATTTCCAGTTTCTTGATGTATGACACTCTGTTTGCATACGATTGAGGTTGTTGTATGTCAAGCCCTAGCCACTTGTTCTTATTACATTTTTTTTCTTGTTATATGTAGATACAGCTTGTATCTTCTTAACACTTTTACAATCGTTCAAGCACTACCTTTTCCATCCATTTTGTGTTCCTTTCCTCATTCCTAGGTGAAGAGCATACCTGTTTTAGAAGTAGTGCACTACTCCACAAGTGTGCTTCATTTTCATCCCCGAGCACACTTTTTCATTCTGGGTGGTCGCTTTCTGCCTGGTTTGTTCTTTGTGCACCTACATCAGTCCTCCATCTTTGCAATGTGGGAAGTCCATTTCGGAAGTTAACATTTTCTTACACAAAAAATGCATTTTTCATAGCTACTTACTTCCTCTTGCACACTTCCCACCCTTCCTCTCCACTAAAACTGGTGTTTTTATTCTAGTACCTGCCAATACTCGAAAGTGAAGATTGAGCAGGAATAGCAGAGGGAGCTAGCTGCACCGTTATAGGTGGCATAATACTATTGGTAGAGAGTAGTCAAATGATACATATATGTTTAGAAATGGTGCGTAACTGGTGGGATATAAAGACTGGTGCACTGATTACTAAAAATTCTTTTAGCAATGCTTAGAGGGCAGACAATGGTCAAGATAGCTTTTGTGTGAGGAGAGGTAAGTACCTATCAGAAATACATTTTCAGTATAAGAAAATGTTATTGTTTGGGTCAGATCTCTCCTGTATCTTATGCCATTGATCCAAGCATCATTAAAAGAAGAAGACTTATGACTGGTGAAAAACCAGCAAGGTTTGCAATAAGCACTATCTGTCAATGGCAAATAACATAACCATGTTCTAAACAGCACAATCACCAATTTCGATTTTTTACAATAAAAAGCTTCTGATAAACATTGATCATCTTGATTCACATCCCTGAGAAATGGACCATTGGGTCTACATGATCCCTTTGATATAATTAAATGTTTTAACACACTGTTTTTGCAGGAAAAATGACAATATCAAGCCCATTTGTAGTATTTCAGTTATTTTTTCATGAGTTCCTTTGTTTGTGTTTGATTCTATTTGAAACACATATCAATTAGATGCAGCACTTGACTTTTTGTCATAACTAGGTTTTTAACATGTACTTGAAAACCTGCTTTTTCACTTTTATCTATACTGTCATTATTTATTAAACATGAATCCAGTTTTGGTAACTTAGAATTATTTTTCTCCTCCTCTCTTTTCACTTTTTTTTTGTCACCACTTTTATGCTTCTGACATTTTCAATTATTGAGGGAGAAATTATTCAAATATTCAACAATTGCATGACATGGTCCGCCACCAGCCACAATTTATTTAGCATTAATATGTTTTTGTAGAATGCAAGGCCAAGTAATGGTGCCATACAAAACATATATCAAACACAGATATATACATGACTGGCTCTGGCAACAAGCAGCAGTTTCTGGCACGTACTTATTTCCTGTTTCTCCCAAATTGTTACTCTTGGTTGCTAGGCAAGGGAGACATAATATTATGACCCCCAGGCATCTGAGGCTGTGATTGGCTGGTGATGACATCATTCAGAAACTCGGTTATGAACAAATAAACTATTATCATTTGGTGGAGACCAAGCTATTGTCCAGTCTAAACAATTAGATCAAGAAATCCTCTTATGCAAAAAAGGATTACAGTAGAAGGTTTTTACTGAAAAATAATATTTAGTTTTTCAATAGACATTAGAAAGTAAACATATAGTTTTGTATTTGCAATGCATCAAATTGATTTATTACGTTGGCCACTGAAGGTGGACGGAGGTTATGTTTTCACCAGTTTGTGAGCAAGATTTCTTGAAAACTGCTGAATGGAGTTTGATGAACCTTGGTATATATTTGGACTATGACCCAACATGGAAGAGAGTGTCAAGGTCACGGAAATAAAAAAATTCCTGTCTGTTAACATGGGAATTGATTTTGCACACTATTTTTGCTCTATAGCTCTGTCAAAAATGATCGAATTTTGATGAAATGTGGTGGACTTGTGTAGAGTATTATTCCTCATTCTCCTGCCAGAAATAGTCCATGTCCATTGATATTTAAGGATATATGGACACATTTTCGAACTTCTTAAGGGCTTTTTTTTTTAATAACACTTGTTTTTAGTGCTTCAAAGAAATGCTGTTCGATGGCCTTCATAGTATTAGTTTGCATAAACTGTGTATACACTGCCAATTTTTTGAACATAAGAAAAAACATATACATATATATTTCAGTTGGGATTTTCAAATTTGGTTCTGAAAAACAGTAAAAAAAGGGAATGGATAAATATTTTTAACTACTTGAGTGAATTAATCTCTTAACAAGTTTTTTTTTCAATAAATTATTGTTGAGGATCAAATGAAAAAATATTTCCTGACCAGTATGGATGTATATTAACTCTCTCAATACAGGCTCAGTCGATTTGACCGAACACGTGACCTTTTTGTACTCATTTAAAGTCTGTATAGATTTAATACTTATAACTCTGAATTTAGTGTGTATATCTTCACGAAATTTGGCAGTCATTCAGTTACCATTCACATCAAAAAAATAATAGTTTTAGTGAAGTATTCTTTATAAAATGTAATAAAGATTTGTCCATGAATATATTGAATATTTGTTT